CAAAAGAAAAATCTACTCCATGGAGTACAAGAAAGGAATCATGGAAGACTATTGGGGCCTAAATCTTACTGCTTTCTGCAAAGAGAAGATGTTGAGTATCCGATTGGTCCAAAAATGGCAAGCAGAATATGGTAACCTCATTGAACAAGTGGACAAGGGAAATGCTAAAAAGCGCAAGTGTGGATCAGGTCGGCAACCACTATTTTCCGAGCTAGAAGACCTGATCTGTGCATGGGTTTTGACGGGGAGCAAAGGCTTTGGTTGTGAATAGGGCTCAGATTCAGGAATGTGCCCTTGCAAGGGCACCACGGTTTGACATAGCCCTGAAGACTTCAAAGCATCATAACACTGGCTGGATAATTTCCTTCAGCGAAGTCAACTGCCTTTAAGAAGATCCACGACTGCTACCATACCATTTACAGGTAATACATTTACTTTTTGTTGTTCAACAATAAATGTGTACCGTATTCTTCTTCATGGAAAAATAAGACATCCCCTGAAAATAAGACCTAGCGCATCTTTGGCAGCAAAAATTAATATGACACTGTCTTATTTTCGGGGAAACAGGGAATGTCTCTCAGGGTGTGAGCAGAGTCTCCCACCTCCAAAGAGGAAATTCAGGATTTCCCAGAATCCTTACAGGAAGGCCATGCCCACACACAGATCTCCTTGGCCATATCCTGATTGACAGCCTAGAGTCCTCCCCTACACTCTTAATCCTCAAATTGACACTAGATTATGTAACTACCACACAGTGCTATGCATGGCACTGCATGGGGCTCAGCTACCTCTTTATCTATTTTTCTTCTTTGTTTTCTCCTTCTTTTGCTTTTTCTTCTTTTTTCCTCTTCTTCTATCTCCTCTCTTTCCCACCACAGTCTCAGCAGATTGTTTTTCTTTTTTGTTTTTTCTTTTTTTTGACTCTTTGTTATTTTGTCTGCTTTGTGTGTGTTCGTTTGTTTTTTATTTTTGATCTTGTCTTTGTTTTCTCCTTTCTCCCTTTTTCTTCTCTTCTCCCTCTCTTTCCTTTCACAAGCCACTACTGGCCTCCAGGCCACTCCCCTCCACCTAGGGCAACTCTGATTGCCTAGTTGGGGGACTTCCTGCCCATAGTTGTTGGCTTTACATGAAGCTGGGGAAATCACACGCACCCACCACTACACCCCAAGCAGCTGGGAGATCTTCCCTTCAAATGGTTGGGGGAACTCCCGCCTAAACCTCAAGGCCCTACAAATGACTGGGAGAACTCCTGCCCTCTGTTTGTGGTGCTCCGCACTACTGCAGGAACATCCACCAAACCTCCACAGTGATCTCTCTGACTAAGGTAATTCCGCCTGCCATCCACGGTGCTCTACACCAAGAAGGGTACACCCACCACCCTCCATGGCACTCCAGTTGCAGGGAAACACCACACGCCATCTGAGCTGTTCCAAGCCCTGTGAGACACACCACTACGGCTTTCTAGGAGATGAGCCAGTGAAACACCATCCTCATGGCCAACAACCTCCTAACTAGCATCCCATGAGAAGACTGTCCAACTCACATTCCAAATAACAGAATACTGGTCGGCTCGGGTAAGTGAAATCACAGGAAGATAGAGCAGTAACCTGACCTGCCAGTGCAGCTACCTGTAGATAATTCAGAGAAGCACTCATACGAGTCCCCCAGGAGAGAGCCCAGTGCTCTTCAACTCTGGAAGACGGTGCCAGGTTCCTCTAAAACAACATGTAAACAGCAACCAGCCCCAACGGCCTCAACTGAAAAGCAGGAGAAACAGAAGACAATGCCAGAAGAAGGAAGCCGATATCTTATGTAAAGAAGTCCTGATGGCATAGTGGGTTATGAATTGGGTTGCTAACCTCAAAGTCAGCAGTTCAAAACCTCCAGTTTCTCTGAGGAAAAAAGATGAGACTTCCTACTCCTATAAGGATTTATAATCTTAGAAACCTACAGGGGCAGCCTTACTGTGTCCTGTGACACATGCTTTCCATGGTGTTGGCAGGCCTGTCGCCTTCCAGGGGTGATAGAAGATAACTTTTTTTTTTTTAATCTTACTTTTTTTCTTTTCCTTTTGGTCTTTTCTAGCTTCTGAAGAGTGTCCTTGCGTCTTGTACTCATGGTGATTTCCTTCCTCTTCAGCGCTAGCAGCATCTTCAAATCTCTCTCTGCTTCTGTTTTCAGCTCAGAAACACCTTTGAGACAGCTAGTTCTCACTCACATAATCCAGGATCATCTCCCCATTCTTTGTGTAATCAAACTGCCAAGCCCTTCTGTTCGCCTTTAGGGGCAATTATTCCACCTGACATAATCTCTGTATGACTGCTACCGGTTCTGCTGCACCAAAATCTTACCTCTCTACCCTATGTCATTTACACAACCTTCTGCTTTTCCCCTCCCAGATGAACTGGAATAAAGTTCACAGGGTTTCAAGTCAGGTCTACTCTCCTTGGGATGAAGGTGGATGGTCCGGAAGAGGGGAAGAGGAAAGACATATGAGTCCCCCTAAGAAAGGAAAAGGTACTTCAATGTGCTCCCCACTGGTATTCTTATAAGCAGTGCCTTAGCTCTGTGTTCTCCGGCAAGCAACCTCAGCCTGGCCTCATGGGTACCACTCCTCTACAGTACTGAGTGGTCCCCAGTGCCCACACCCTGCCTAGTTCCTGGAAGCTCCAAATAAGCTGGGTGTGCACAGAGGGCTACTCGTTAAGGATCACATGGGGAGGAGACACATGTCAGGAAAGAGACCTGCCTTCATTCTAGCCAGAGTTGGGAGTTTTGCACTCTAGAGTCCAGGACCTGGACAGGTTGTGGCTTTGAGCATCCAGCCCTTCCCAACTCAGAGATGTTTGAGATGTTTTCACACATCACCAAGTGCTTGTTCTCTCTTCTTGGCAGAGGAATGTGTGCAGACTTCTCGGGAGGTTCAAGGAGTCGTGGCTGCTCAGTAGGCATTTTCCAGGTGAACAAATGACCCTGATTGGTGGGAGAGGGTTTCAGATCCCAGCTAGCAGCCCCTGCCTGCTCTCCACAGGACAACCCCTGGGCAGTCACCTGTAGTTCATCCTGATGCACCACCCACCCTACCCTAGTGAAGAGAGGGCTTCATTCACCCTGACACACATGGAGATTACCTGGGTGCTGGTCCACTAGAGTCTGGGCCCTTGGAAATCTGCAAGGTCCCATGGACCAGCATCCCTGACTCCACTGATCACTCACAATGTGGGGGGTACTACGAGTTGGAATTGACTTGATGGCAGTGAGTTTGGCTTTAAGTTTGCCTTCTGCTAGTGATTCCTGGACATAACTTCCTCCATCCCGCCCCATTTCATCCCACTCCACCCCATTTCTAGTCCAAGGCACTAGCTCTCATAGACAGACCTCCTGGGTGCCCTCTGCCTGCTGTGTGAGGCTATGTTCTGCTCCCAAGGAGTTTCTCTCCCAGTTGTGGTTGTAGCCAATACATCCCTCCCAGTCCCCTGGCTTCTCTGCCTATCACAGTTTTCAGTTCTGTTCAGCCCTGTGTTGACAGGAAGTGAGAGAGGAGGGTAGCTTGTCACTCAATGTTTGACCTGAGAGTTGGGACAGGAGGGTGTGCCAAAAGCTTCCTGAACAGGAGGTTCAACATGTCCTGTGAAATTTGATAGTGCAGAAGGACTTAAGCTGGCATATTCTCAGGAAGCATAGGACAATGGTCACCAGAGTTCTGGGAGGAGGGCCAAGGGCACATGCTCTAAACCACAGGATTCCAAGAGTACACAGAGTGACCAAAAAGTGACCCTGCTGGATCCTGAAAATGAACAAGGCCTAGACTGAGTTCACACTACATACATCACTCTCATGACACATACACACAGATACTTACTGAAGCCTAAGCCTTGCACACACCTCACACTCGAACACACACACACACACACACACACAAATGTCCAATCACAAAAGGCACCCAGTAGTGCTTGAGAACTGGACCAAGGGAAGTGAAATGCATCAGCTTGCCTGTGGGTGTTCCCATCTTCTCTTTCCTTAGGGTGCCTCCCCTTCCCTTCTGGAAGCAGAACGTGCTGCCCTATCCCCATGTAAGCCTGCTCTTGGGGCGAGTCTCAGTACCAATTATGGAATGTGGGTTAACATAGACCAGCAAAAGGTCCTTTGGTCAAACCTCTTATAAATAAGAGTCTTGATATGCTTATCCATTGACATTGAAGTAGGAGCACGCCCACCACTTGTCTTGCTAGCAGGCTTCTTGGTATCCAAACAGATACAGGAAGCTGATGTTTTTTAGGCTCAGGTGACTTTGCGGTCAACTCCCAGCTAAGACTTGTTGAAACCTTATCTTTGTTTGTGCAGAAAAGGTCTATCCAGGTGCCAGGATACAGAGGAGGAGCTGGAAGGATGGATGCAGAGGCACACCTTCCTTAGGGGGGTGGGAGGTGTGTGTCTTTGGACAACGTTGTGGGGCTGAATAGGCAGTCTTATGTGGGAGAGCATCGAGGCCTGGAGGGGGTTGTCCAGATGACAGGTTCCCAGGGCAACAAAGAGACATCCCTGTGCCTCAGGGCTGAAAATCCCCCCTCTCCAATCTCTTCCCACCTGCACCCCCACAGCCTCCATTGGCCTCTCTCCTGCACCTGTTTTGGATCCTGGATTGGAGACCATACATGGTGGAAACTGTGGACCCTAAAGTTGTGTGTATCCCCAGCCATTGAGCATTGCTGCAGTTCAGCCATGACAAATCTCTATCATGTGGTTCCACCCGGACACCCACCCCAAATTTTTCCTCCCACTGTCCAATCCAACACCACAATGCTGCCTTCCTCCTGCCAACCCAGAATTCCCAGAATGTGGCTGGGAGACAGCAATATTGACAATGACAACGGCAAGGAAGGTTTCAGAGACCATCTCAGAGGAGCGGACAACAAACAGGTGAAACCACATTTCATACTACTTTCCGTTAGTGCTGAGAACAGTGGTGTGTGTTTAGAATTATGACCGCTCTGCACATGGCTGTTTCATGCACTTTCTGCACGTCTATTATGTTTTAAGCACAGAAAAGAAATCAAACAAAACATCGATGAAGGGGCCAGAGCCTGCCACCATCCCTCTGTCACGTGCTGGGGGCTAAGTGATGTGCAGCACCATGACACTCAAGCCAAAGTTTCCATTGGGTCCACTTGTATTTCCTCAGACTGGATGTAAGCGTAAAGGACATGGTGAAAATATTGCCAGTTATGGGGGATAAAGGAAATTCTAAAAGAGAATGAGTGCTCACCAGGTATTTGTTAAATGAATGAGTGGCAGGTGTGTCTTAGTTCTAGACAATGCAGATCTACATGGCACTGGTCTCTATGTGAATGTCTATGCCAGTCCCATGCTCCTTCTAAATTACAAGCCTCCTCAGGACAGGGGACCCCAGGAGCCCCTAGTCCGGTCTAAGGAACGAAGTGCTCAGGAACTACTTCATAGACCCTGGGCTCAGTGACTTCAAATGGAGATGGATGCCATTCTTGGAGCGCAGGATCAGCTGGGGTATCTTGATGGGTGGCCGTAAGGGGTCCACGGAGAACTCGAAGCGCAGCAAACAGAGCGCTGTGACCACCTTCATTTCGTTCATGGCAAACTGCTGCCCGATGCAGTTCCTGTAGTGAACACATAAACAGCCCTCGGGCTTTGGTGTGTCCAAAGAAACCCAGACTCCCTCCCACCCAACTCCCCCAGCCCCCAAAAATAGACCGCAGAGCTGATGTTCTTAATGGCCACCCAAAATCAATGAACTGATTTTGTATGAAATTAGCTGATTGGTTATTCTGGGCTAAAGAAACAGATCCTGGGAGTGTGATGAGGGTCCCAACATGAGGAGATTCATATGAGTGGACTGCTTTGGGAGCAACTCCTATAATAACTCATCCATCCATTTACCTCCTAAGAGAAAAGTGGAAGCTCCGTGGAAGTCTTGGAGCTCGCCCGGTGTCCGGATCACTCTGCTCCCATCCTAGTCCCTTTCATTCACCGAGAGCCCCAAATTCAGTCCCCACATAGCCATCCGCTTTCCCCTCCCCTGGGCATGCTAGACCCCTCCCTACCTGGGTCCTGCAGAGAAGGGCATGAAGGCAAAGGGGTGGCGTCCCACCGAGTTCTCAGGAGAAAAGCGCAGTGGGTTAAAGACCTGAACAGACAGGGACTTGCTTAAACACCTGCAAGATCATGAAGGAGGGTAACTTGGAAACCCCACCTTATCTCCAGGGTCAGGGATGGGAATACCTCAGGATCAGGCCACACCGCGCCATTCCGATGGAGGGCATAGATGTGCAGAGAGACCAGGCTGCCTGTGGACAGAATAGAAGTCTGGTGACCAGGAGTCCTGACATCCTAGCCCACCTCTTCCCACGGGTCACCAAGCCCTGTCTGAGAACTGCCAATGACTACAAGCTCGATGCCACACTCTGCTCTTCAAAGTGTTTTTGATCTTCATCACACTCAATTTCTGTTGCCCAGGCACCCAGCCTAGCAACCGGACATAGACTTTTGTGGAATGGAAAACCAGGAAGAGTTCGTCCTACCACACTGTGAAGTTGGATAATGAGAGACCATTACACTGATTTTCCTCTCAATGAACTGACATTCAGGCAAACAATTATTCATATCACATGACACTATCAGTGGTAACAGTTTCCCTTCACTGGATGCTAAGCACAGGCCACCTACAGGGCCAAGGGCTCTAAGAAGCTGCCACATGCACAGTTTGTGCAGGTTGTGCCTTGCCCAGAATCACAGTCTAAGCGGGTGACACCTTCTGAGGTTGTTCAGTGCACAACTTGTTTGGCCATATGTGACAACCCTGACGAGCGTTGTCTCTAATCCTGACAACAGCTTTGTACGTTTCATCCTCTTCTTATTCCCAGTTAACAGACAAATGAATTACTCACACAGCAGAAAGATTTTGGAGCTACTTTTTGGAGCCAGAGCTCTCTCTGGGCCCAAATACTGAGTTCTTGCCCCGTGATGCAAGCTGTCTGGTTCAATATACAGAGATGTCAGAGGGCAGCCCAGGGGATTCGACCTTCAGGTTTACCTGCGGGTAGAGAGCGGCCATCTGAAAAGGTGACAGGTTTGCTGAGCTGGCGGTACACCTGGGGCACTGGCGGGTACAAGCGGAAGCTCTCCTTGATGCACATGGTCAGGTAGGTCATCTTGCTCAGATCATCCCTGTCAGTGACATAGGCCATTGTGGGCATGAGGAAGAATGGGATCCCAGGGCAAGATAGTCCCCACCCCAAATTCCTTCCTCACCACCACGCCTTTGGGGTCAGAAAGACACAAGGGCTCAAGGTGCTCAGGCCAGATCAGACTGCAGATGGCCACTCTGACCTAAGGCTTCTGGCTCCGTTTTGCTCCATCCCCTCATCCCCTTCACCACCACATACGGAAGGCACAGGAAAGGAATCAAGATAAGGTCGATCAGTGGAACAGATCATCCATTTGCTTGTATGGAATTCAGGTTGAAGCGAAGAAGATGAAAACAAGCCCACAAGATCCCAAATGTAAACAGAACAAAAATGCTCACAACTAGACCAACAGACCGCATCATGATAAAGAGAAAAAAGAGTGGTGGTGTAAGGATTTCATTTTGCATTGATCCACAATCTATACTCATGAAAGTTAAAGTCAAGAAATCAAACAGTATTTCTTTGGGTAAGTCTGCTTCAAAAGATCTCTTTAAAGTGTTAAAGAGTCAAGAGATTATTTGAGGCTTAAGGAACACCTGATCCAAGCCGTGATATTTTCAGTTACCTCATGTGCATGGAAAGTTGGACCCTGAGTAAGGAAGACAGGAGAAGAATTGACACCTGTGAATTACAGTACTGGAAACGAATATCGAAAGAACTGTGGACGGGCAGAAAAACAAATAAATCTGTCTTGGATGAAGCCCAGCTAAAATGTTCCTTAGAAGAAAGGCTGCATCTCATGTACTTTGAACATGTGATCAGGGAAGACCAGTCCCGGGAAAAGACATCATGCTTTGCAAGGTAGAGTCTGGGAAAAAGAGAAAGCTTTTCAATGAGATCAATGGACACAGTGACTGCAGCAACAGGCTCAAACACAACAATTGTAAGAATGGCACAGGACCCTGCAGGGTTTCGTTCTGTAGTGCAAAGCATCCCTATGAGTTGGGACCAACGGGACAACACCCAACAACGACATGCTTGAGTATCCCAGGACAGAAGCACAGAGAGAAAGCTGATGTGTGTGCTGACATCCAGGCTCCAAGGCTGGCGGGAGAGGGGGGGAGGGGGGGATGAAAGAGAAGAGGAGAAGGAGTGAGAAACCGCAAGGCAGTGGTGGGATGGAGCTTGATAGGGGTCCCCAATGTCAGGACAAATGAGCTAAAAGGAAAGCAGGGGTAAATCTGTGTTAATGACATAAAGTTTGAGCTAAGAAACAAGCAGCTACCATTGATGCTAGATTTTAAGGAAAGGCATTAGGCAATTTTTTCCCCTTTCAGAGGAAGAGGCCAGAGTCTGGAACACTCGACAGTGCCATCCAAAGGCAGATGGAAAAGGATCAGCATTTCCCATGGCCCCAGGTCTGTTCTGCGTTTCCACTTCTTTTTCGTTAAACTCTCTCCCCTCTGCCCACAACACCAGAATCAGTCAGGTACCTCCACCAGAGGGAAAAAGCACGTAAGCAAGCATCTTCCGGTTGGCAGTAGTCTCCATGTTACACCCATGTGAAAAGGCTACATTATACCAGAATGTAATGGGATGCAACTGGACCTTCCCTCTCCCAACAAAACAAAGCTACAGTCCTGGAAGGAATAGGACACCAGCTACCACGCCATCTAATTTCTAGAGCAGCCCTGAATTATCCATGGGTAACAGAGAACACAAGAGCACAGGCCTTCTCTGGGGCTGAGCAGGACAGGTTAAGGTCACCCACGGTCTCACTCACCACTGGAAAGTGTCCTGGTCCCCCAGGATCTCTTGGACCTCCTCCCTACATCGATGCTGGTGCTCAGGGTACAGGGCCATACAGTAGAGAAACCAGGCGATGCCACTGGTGGTGGTATCATGTCCCTCAAACATAAATGTGTCCACCTCAGCCCGTAGATCTGCATCTGATAATTTGATCCCACCTTCATCCTGAGTTAGGGAAGGCATAATGGGACCATTCAGGAAATTTGAGATCAGTACCAAGAAGAACTCACTGTAGTAGACTGTCAACTGAAAGTCCAAGAGAGCCCGTGAAAACTCCTCTTCAGACTGTAAGTTCCTATCTGCTCAGGGAAACTCATCTTGAATGCCCTCCTGGATTCCTTAGCGAAGTGACCTATGGCCTAACACAACCCTGTGTCAGCTCTGTGCCCTTGACACCTGGCATGCCATCTTTAGTCATGTTTACACGGAGCCCTGCTGGTGTTGTGGTCAGAGGTCGGGCTGCAATCCGCATGGTCAGAAGTTCCACCCACAGCTCCTCGGGGAAAAGACGGGGCTTTCTGCTCTCCACAGTTGCAGTCTCAGAAACCCACAAGGGGTCGCTATGAGTCAGCATGGACTCGATGACAGTGACATCCCCTATCTATCTCCTCCACTAGTCTTGTCCATTTCTAGACAGCAAGAGCAGGGTTTTTCTCATCCCGGTATCCCCAGCACACAGGTCCTGGTCCTAGCTAAGAGTAGGAGCCCACTGAGTCTGTGGAGGGCGGGGGAAGTGAATGAACTCACTCTGAGGTTCTAGGACTTTAGGGCACCAACTTCAGGATGTTGGGGTTGCTGCCGGTTGCTATTAGGATTGCCCCCACTCCTGACAATCCCATGTGTGTACAGCCGAATGAACGGACGGCTGTGCCATTTTCTCGATGGTTGGTATGTTCTAGCCCATTGCTGTGGCTACTGTGTTGGTCCGTCCGTCTCATGAAGGGTTTCTCTCATTTTTGCTATCTACTGCTCAGAGACCAGGATCCAGGCGCATCCTGTCCCTTCCCTCCTCCAGGACTTTGATGATATGTCACTGGACAATGAACAGGTTGTTTTGCTGAGAGCGGAAAAACAGGTGGAAAATGCTGAGCAACCTTTCTCCTGGACAGTGAGTCTTTCCTGAGGAGGTTAAGGCTGGCAGCGGGCAGGGGCGGGGGGTGAGGGTGGTGTCAGAGTGGTCTCTGAAGCCAGGTGAGGGCGGGGGTGGGCAATAGTGCACTCACCCGGGCCCCAAGGAGAATGTCCAGGAAGTCCAGGTGTCTCTTTTTCTGGATCTTTTCCCATTCTTTTTCATTCTTCAGTGCTGCCTTCCGTTCCCTGATGACATGGTCTGGATCAGGAGTACAGAGAGTCACTGCTGGGGAACCCAGGCTCTGCCCAAAGGAGAAGTTGAGGCCTAGCCAAGGGGGTGGGGGTGGGGGATCTCCCAGAGGGTCCAGAGAGGAGCTGCACTAGAACTCAGGCTTTCTGGAGGTGAACCCTGGGGGAAAGACCCACCTGTATGATCATGAGCCACCTGGCAGGCCCGCAGGAAGCGGCGGCCATGGGGGGTGAGCCAGTAGATGAAGTCATTGTGATACTGGAAGGACTCAAGGCGCTGCTGCATCAATAGGGTGAGCTCGTTGATGGCCAGGTAGTAACTGTGGTCCCTAGATAGCACAGGAAAGGAGGGGCAACTCCCACACTGATCCAGGACAGAGCCCAGCCCTCTCTGCCCTCCCTTTTTCCATCCTTAACCCTACACTAAAGCCATCATGTACTCCCCACCATGTGCAAATCCCCCTCTCCCCTCAAACTGAGATGCCCTAGGGCACGGCCTATCTCCTCTCAAACTAAGGCTCCAGGAACCCTGCCAGTTCTCCCCTCCTAACTGGCTAGTGGCACGTTGAGCCTGAGGTGCCCCTGACCTTTGGCCCAGGCCGCTATCTCCTTTGCCAAAGGTGCACTTCATGAGTGTATCCAGTGCCATGCGGCCCACATCGCCGAAGATGTCAAAGCTTTTGTCCTCGCGGGCCTTTTTCTCCCATGTGTCCTGAATCCCAAAATAGAAAACAATGTGGGGGGACCGGTCTAGTAGGATATCCCACCCCAGACCTCCAGGATCCACAACCACCCTTCCCCACCAAGCCTGCAGCCCACACACACATGCAAGCCTGATCTGACCCTCTCTCCTATTGGAAGGTAACATGCAGGTAGAGGCTTGGGGCGGACAGGAGCAAAGGATAGGACCAGGAGGCAGCCCTTCAGAGGCAGGTTCTTTATCCCAGCAAAGGCAGCCCATAGGAACAGGGGGGCCAAGAGATGGGCAGCTCCCCAGCGCAGTGGGTATAAATCTGGCCTGCCAGTGAGGCTAAAGAAGGAGTTAACCTGGGTGACCTTGGGGATCATGCAGCCCTAAGCACCAGCCTGACCGCTGGTCCCTGAAATTCCTGTTAGATTGCTAATTACATGATTGTAGGCAGCAATAGCAGGCAGAGGGTGAGGGTGAGACACTTTGCAGAGCTGAAAGTCTTCCTGACGTTCTCAAATATATGCAGCCCTCAGGTCGGCTACAGTTAGAGCCTTATGTAAGCCTCACAAAACCCCTCCTGTGTTGACAGAAAAGGACCTAGTGGAGACGAGGGCCAGGGGTTGCCAGGACACTCAGAGTGTCACCCACAGGTCAGCTCCCAGCTGCAGCAAGGGAAGCCAGCGGCCACTGCAATGTTATTGCCAGCAGAGTGGGGTCTCAGGCCTCAGGGTTTCCTTACTGCTGGGAACCACCTGGCCTCCCCCAGTTCTTCTGGACATGGGGGCTGGTCCGAAGTTGAGACCCTCCAAGATCCTGGCACAAGTTGCTCACCAGCATGGAGCGTGTAGAGTCAGCAAACACAGCTACATAGGGCTTCAGCACATCATAATGAAAGCCGGGGGTGAGCAGTTTACGATGCTGGTGCCACTTGGGCCCCTCCAAGACCAGCAGACCTTTCCCTGAAGAAGAGATGGAAGAGGAGAGACAGTCCATCTGGGGGATGCCCTTCCAGCTCAGAGCCAAGCAGATGGTCCTTGTTGGCACACCGCCCCTAACCTGAGTTCCTCCGGGAGTGGTCACTACGAGATAAAATTTTGCTCTCTGTGCTCCCATGCCCAAGTAATCAGAAACCTTTGGTCACAGCTAACATCCGTGACTCCCAGGACCTCAGAACCCAGGAGGTGGCAATGACTCAGCACTTGTGTACTGGCTGCACCCAAAAAGTCTAGGCCCCGGGGACAGGTGTCAAATGAAACAAAACTCAGACAAATGGAACATAGCTCCTCGGGGAGAACCAGGCAGAGACAAGGCTGCTGGATCTCTCACTGCCAACTGGGATCACGGCCTCAGGCCTTAGAGAACCATCGGTAGTGTTTGTGCTTCCTGGTCTGAGCAGGCCCTTAGCCTACACACAGCCGCTCACACATCCAGACAGAGGAATAGAAACGCATTCTTCTGCATTTCTCAAAGCATGTCTTGCATGTCTTCTCATTTTATTCTAACTATACCCTTGGACTAAGAGCCCTGGTGGTGCAGTGGGTTAAACATTGAGCTGCTCACTGCAAGGTCAGCAGTTTGAAACCACCAGCTGCTCTAAGGGAGAAAGATGAAGATGAGGTTTGCCATTCCTGTAAAGATGTAGTCTCAGAAACCCACACAGGCCATTTCTGTTTTCCTACAGGGTCGCTATGTGTCAGAACTGACTTGAGGGAAGTGGACTTGGTTGGTTGGATGGTTAGTTGGATGGATGATTGGTTGGTTGATTGGTTGGTTGGTTGATTGGTTGGTTGGTTGGTTGGTTGGTTGGTTGGTTGGTTGGTTGGTTGGTTGATTGCATGGAAGATTGGTTGGTTGGTTGGTTGGATGGATGGTTGGATGGATGGTTGGTTGGTTGTGCTTTGATCATTGACGAGAGGACTCAAATCACTGACATCCAGAAAAAAAAACTTCCTTATGTGACTAGATATAAGGGGCCTGAGGGGCCCAGTGGTTAAGTAGTTAGCTTATAACCAAAAGAGCCCACCAACTGCTCCATAGAGGAAAGATATGCTGTTCTGCTGCCCAGAAGACTGAAATCATAGAAACTCTGGCAGTTCTACCCTCTCTCATAGGATCACGATGTGAAGGCATCAACTCAACGCCAGTTGGTTTTGTGTGTTTGTTTGCTTGTTTGTTCTTTGGTGTGTGTGTGGGTTTTTTTGTTATTGTTGTTGGGGGTTTTTTGGTATATTACTGCATTAGTAAATATGCCTGGGAATGCTGTCCTCCTCTTGAGCCTGCCCTTTCTCAGCTTTCAATATGATGTGGAGAATACCATGAGATCATGAGTCAAAGGTGGGCTTTGGAGACTTACACCCGTGACTCATCAATACTCAATAGCTCCCACCCAACCTCACCATCAAGCCATATTTGTTGTCCTGAAATCAAGGCCAGCCAACCTTCCCTACCCAGTCTAAGCTCGCCACCCCCATCTTCCAGTTGCTCCAATACCCCAGAGTCTCTGGTGGCATCATCTTTAGTTTGCTATGAGTTAGCATTGATTTGATGGCAGTGAATGTGTTTGTTTGTTTGTTTGGAGGGGATTCCCTGACTGGTATCTATGGGACCCTACTGAAGTTTCTGCTGGACCCAGTGTCATCTCCTCCAGGAAGCTGTCCATCACATCCACACATTTTCTAGAACCCTAGCTCTGCTTGTCCAGAGAAATAGAAGTAACTGGCTCCCTGCCAGGAGCACTGCTGCCTGGACTCTTTCTCCACACTGTGCGGAGCTTAGATGGACACATGGGAGCAAGAGGTCCTGTTGACAACATTACGGATTGAGTGGAGGTAGGATAGGGAAGGCAGGGTAGGATCCCAGCCACTCAAGAGCCAAAAGATTGGAATAGGAAAGGCAGAGAAGCTGGATATGTCCCACTCACCAATCCACTGGAGAAAGAAGTCATACACATCCGAGGCTTTAGGGTCTGTAGAAGGAGGAAGTTCAGGTCAGTAGAGGATGGAGTTGTTCCCAGGGGAGGCTTCTGGATAAAGTCGGAGTGAATCTTACTAGCCCTTCCCAGACATAAGCACAGGCCCTCCTCCTCACACGCTCTCAGACCCTTGATTTCAAGAAACCCCGCCCTCTCCCAAGGGTCCTCACCACCACGGCTGTACACAGCTTTGGCATAGTCAGGGTCATAGATGTTCAGGAAGCCGATGAACTGTCCAAACCAGAGTGGGTGGGCGTGAGGGAACTGGTGGGCCCAAGATACAACCTTGTCCAGACTCCCTGTTTGCTGGATCTGAAATGGTGACAGAGGTCCAGAGCCACTCATGAGTCCAGAATCACTAGCCAGCCCCCAACGCCCTGAGCAGGAAAAGGGAGCGGCCCCCCAGGCAAGTCCTAGAAGCTTCCTTCCCTCTTACTGCACCCCAACTTCCAGCCCAGTCCTCAATGTCTCTGGGCTCTGTCCACTCTGAAGGCCCACACCCATACTGTTAAGTCCAAACCACCCTCTTCTTGCACCTGAGTGACCTCAAAAAGCGACCATGCTTTCATCTAACACACTCAGTCAGCCCTCTACACTGTAGTTAGAACTTTCTCTTAAACCTTAACACTCTTTCATTATAAAGAGTAATACCTGTTCGTTGTACAAGGTAAAAACCAACCTGATTTCCACTGCTGCTTAGTAACTCAACCCATTTTTATCGAGGACCTACTATGTGCAGAACCCTGTTCTAAATACATTAGGAGTATGAGACAGACTGGGACCACCCCTTTCATCCAACGGGGCAAACAATGAACAAGTAAATGAGTAGGTAAAAGAGTCTACTCCCCAAATAGCTAAAGTCTTGGAAACCCAAAAGGGACAGTTCTACCCTATAGGGTCATTATGCATCAGCATTGACTGTATGACAGCAAGTGTAATTGATGAACAAAAATGCGAACAGGTAAACCTGATGCTGTGAGGTAAAATAACAGGGAGGACCTACTTCGATAGATCGTCATTTCTTGTTGGAAATAGCATTAAAAGGTCAAGGTTGATCAAGAGCTGGCCAAATGAAGAGTAGGGGAAGGCATTTCAGAAGAGGGAACAAGCGCAAAGCCTCTGGGAAGAGAAAAGCTGCCGCGCCTTCCAGGAGCCGCCGTGCTATGCGACACTGGCAGGAGAGGAGGTTGGAAGGTGATTTGGAGGAGGGTGTGTACACTGAGGGCTTACGTGTGGCAGTGTGACTATGGCCATCCTGTGAGCCTGAATGTCTGGAATTAAAATGACCTCCTAGGATGTGGCACCATCGGTATCGGTTCTTCCTCGCGGCACAGCCTCTGCCTCTCTGACACTCTCCTTGACCAAAGCAACATTCCACCTGTGCTTCAGCTTGAATGCTTCTTTCCAGAAATCTCTGGATTCCCCCCACCAACTGAACTCTCTAACACTGGCCCATTCTGCGTGGTGTAGGAACTGCTTGCTCCGAACGCAGCGGGGTCCTTGGACATTCCTGTCCACTGCGCATGTGCTCCGTGGCAGAGACTGCATTGAGAGGACCGCATGGATTCTTTCATTTAATCCGCAGAAAACCCTAGACGAAAGGCGCAACCACAATTCCCACCTCATTGATGAGGAAATTAAGGCTCGGTCACATGGCCGGTTAGGACCCCCGACTCCATCTCTAGCTGCACGTTTCCCAAATGCAGAAGCCACTTCTGTGGCATCCCCAGGTCTGCCACCGAGCTAAGCACAGGACTTTGGACACAATCCATGCTTCATGAAGCGTGCCTTGAATAAATGGAATGAAAAAAAGGGGGGCGGGGGGATAAGGAAGAGAGAGAGGGAAGGAGAAACCATACCAAATATCTGGCTAACATAAACACTGGCCAGAGAGGGTCAGTCTCGTGAGGAAACAGCCCAGTGTCTTGCTCAATGTAGAAGTTCACAGAAGGGCCACCACTTGCACGCCTCTGTGTGGTAAACAACACTGCAGATTGCTACTTGCTCCTCCCAGGTGGTCCTGGTCTGCCTGCTCCAACTCATGTCCAGATTCATTCATCCTTTCAACATTCTGTTCATCAGTATAGTGATTGGAAAGGGGAGGAAATATATGCACTGAGTGTCTGCCAAATGTCAAGTGCTACTATGTGAATGATTTCAGAACGTCTCATGACCCTGATAATTCCTCCCATTAAGGGAGTTCCATTCGGGTTGCAGTCTGTGCTGACCCTGCTTGTTTTTGAAGTATAGTTTCCAATTTGTTTCCCTCTAAGTAAGTTTTTCTTCAGTCTTTACAGATTCAGATCTTAGCCTGGGCTTTGGGGGAAGGTCTGAGTAAACACCTGAAAGGCAGAATAAGGGATATTTGGCTCTTCTAGGCTTTTTGAGAACAGAGAAGGATCCCTTTGCTGTGATCGGCAACCATTCGCACAGCAACATACCTGCACATTCAGGATGAGAAACATATTGGTGTCAAAGACTCACTTCAGAAATGCCCCAATAGTCGCAGCTTTTACTCTATCTGGAATGATGATTTTCTTAATAGCCTTGTCCAGGAGCACGAGGCGGGTCCAGTGTAGAGATTGCACATGGCCATGGCCCTTTTTAGGATGACCATTGTTCCTTTTTGCTTTATAATCCTGGAAGGGAGGATCCAGGAGTTGGCCATGCCTATCAAAGCTCTCTCTCACAGTTCCCCACTCACTCAATGAATCCATGTTGTGTCCTCCAGAAGACAGCCTTAAAGCAGGAGGGGGCATCTAATCTGATAGCCCCCAGCATTCCGAGGATTGGCCCTGGTTACTCTCAACTACAGCCTACCATCTGTGCCTTTTCCAGGGTTCGTTTCCTCCCAGGTCCTCTGCATAATGCAGTGTCATCTCCCCACAGACTCCCTTCCTTACTGCCTCCCAACTAAGCATTCTAGTCTCTCCTCCTTCCCCTCGAGGGCTTGTAGAATTGCTCAGGGTCCTTGAGCACACCATCTCAAGAGGGTGCGACATACTAAGCATTCTCCCCACACTCTGGTAAGAGGGGAACTTCTGGGGTCCCTGATTCCTCCCCAGTCTCCTTCCTTATTGGTGGTGCCCCCCCCCCGAAGGGGCCCCTCCTCTATCTTCCTTTTCCATCTTCCTTATTGGGTGTTCATCTTCACCCCTCCCAAGACCCAGGAACTCCGCTGGACAGGGCACAAAGAGCCTAAGCCACAGAGAACTCAGATTAAAGGAAGCTAGGGTTGGAAGGAAACTTTGGATGATCAGGTTTACCTAAGGCCCCCCCAGCCCCCCCGCTCCCCGCACTCCCCACCCCCACTCCCGCTCCTCCTCTTGCCAACTAGGCTTGGGCCTTCTGAGGCATCCTACCATGGACAGGAGACCGGATCTCATGCTGACCGTGTTCACAGCCTGAACCTACACCTGCCTTCTCACTCCCAGCTTTCCCCTACATGCCCTTGATGATCAGGGGAAAAGGGGGGTTGGGGGTAAAAGTAAAAATCAGTGCGAGTGAGGACGACTGAGGCAGCCAGACCGACTGAGCCCACTGCTGGAGCCTCTCCTGAGGCAGGAGGCTGCCTCGTCAGTTCCTCTGGGCCACACAAGTGGATCTATCAAATCGGCCTCAGCTACTCTGAGCTAAGCCGCTTTCAGGACGCAGAGATCTGGGCTGAGCTTGTTTTCCTCCAGAAGGAAGGAAGCCAGGAAACGTCAGGACAACAACCCTCGGCCCCACCCTCCATCTTCACGGCTGCGCTCCTCATTGATTTCACCAAGAATAGACAATCGACGGAACCGGGAAGAACCAGCCCCTCTCGACGAGGCTCCCCCAGAGTTCAGAAAGTCAGCATCGCTTAACAGATCACAGCCCCACTTCACAGGCGGGAACACTGCAGCCCAAAGACCCGCGGGAATCATTTTGTATGAGTCTGGCAGACCAAGAATCCTAACTTGAGACTCTTTCTGCTGCCCCTCCTGTTCATAAGCCTGGCCAAGATATCAACCAGTTGACAAGCTCAGTTGGCTAGTATTCAAAAATCCAAGCTCCTGTTCAGTGGCCTCTCAAAGCAAGGGAGTGGAAAACCTTGATGGGAAAAAAAACCTGTTTACTAAATGGTGGTGGTGGGAGTTTAAAAACATTAAAAAAAAAAGTTGGAGGACCAAGGGCAAAGACACTCCCTCCCACACTCCAGCATGTTGGGGTTCCCTTAAGTTTGGTCATATTGATCTAAGATTCCAAGTACTCAGGCTGCCTGGTCCAGCACCTTCCCAAAGTAAGGATTTCTTGTCCTAAGAGCTCAAACATTTCTCATAACAGAAAATGCACTACTTTCAAAACAAGCCAACCGTCTTTGAGACTGTCCCAAGTCTCTGTCTCTCTCACTATTCTATTCTATTCTATTCTATTCTATTCTATTCTATTCTATTCTATTCTATTCTATTCTATTCTAATTCTTAAAAGTCACTGAACTGAAAACAACCCGCCTGTGACGGTCCCTTTCAAAACCCTGCTCTGCCCTAGGGAAGCACACACATTTCCATTTCCCAGGATGCTCCCGTAGGGATTGGGAGGTGGGGACTAGATCTTCCTGGACGTGCCCTCCTCCAGAATGGGCCTCCTGAGTGGCCTTGGATCCCTTTCTCCAGTCATCTCTCTGTCTTGGGAAACACACACGCATAGTCAAGATCATTGAAGCTCACCATGCCCAGCCCGTGTCAAAGATACCAAAGTTATTTAATGGAAATGGATCGAGTACCTGGCAAGGAAAAAAATCATCCCAAAGTGAGAAGAGTCTGCACCTCCGAAATAACTACTGGTGGGGGAAAAAATGCATTCAGTGTAAACAATAGTTTGGGGCACTCAGCTACGGAGTTCAGCAGCAAGCTAGGGGAACCTGGAAGTGGGGGGAATCGAATGGTAAAGACTTCTCAGTTGCAGAGAAGTGACTTTGCCACCACTCTGGTGACACCCAGATGACTCCACTCTTCCTTTGCCTGTGACTTCCAAACCTCTGCCCATCCCAGCTCATCTTTCTTCCGAGCTCTAGGAATGTAAGCAACCACTTTAGGGGCTGAACTAAACAGTGTATATTCTTTGGGGCGAATCTGCCTTGCCCTTTGAGCACTCGCTGAAGTACTGCCTGGAGGCCCAGTCACGTGCTTTCTATTTTCTAAACTGGGAGTGTCCAGTGGGACTTCTTTTCCATCGCACTTTTAGGCCTGTTTCACAACACGAGGTAGGAAAAATAATCACTATCCACAGTACACGCAAGTAAACACATAATCCTTTTTTGTAAAATTCTACTTTTTTAAAAAGCATTTTATTGGGGCTCATACACCTCTTATCACAATCCACACATACATCAATTGTGTAAAGCACACATACATTTGTTGCCCTCATCATTCTCAAAACTCACTTTCCACTTGGATTCCTGGAATCAGCTCCTCATTTTCCTTTTTCCTCCCCACCCTTCCTTCCTCACGAACCCTTGATAATTTATAAATTATTATTTGATCTTATCTTACACTGCCCGGCATCTCCCGTCCACTTTTCTGTTGCCCATCCCCCAAGGAGGAGGTTATATGTAGATCCTCGTGATCGGTTCCCCCTTTATACGCCCCCTTCCCTCCCAGTATCGCCACTCTCCTGAGGGGTTCATCTGGTCCTGAGGGGTTCATCTGTCCTGGATTCCCTGTGTTTCCAGTTCCCATCTATTCATCTCCACCCCCCCACCCCCCCTGCACTTTGACGATCTGGCTGCCTATGACTTTGGGCTCTGGCTAAGTGACCCCACAGACCCTGCTCCCCTGTCCTTCGTATTGTTGACTGGCCTGGCTTCCCCCCCCACACACCCACCCCCACCCCAGAGGAGGACTTTTCTCTACTCGGCTGTAGCCTGACTTCTCCTGCTCTCCTTTCAGGCATCATAGGTAACGACAGCCACAACCACCACCCAAGAATCAAAAGTTCAATTTCTCCCGCCCAACTGTTCTTTGGGGGAAGTCTCTCACATGTCAGCACTCATCTCTCCCTTTGCGCTCACTTTCCGACCTAACAAAAACTGGAATTTTTACACTCTGCCGAACTGAATAGTCCCTAAAGCAGATTGCTTCGTTCCATTATATAATCCAGGTACGTTCCCTATGCCTAAGCCTCGAACAGTCTGGTCAGACCCTTGGGTTTCAGGATAATTGGAAGCAGTGTGTGGCTTGCTTGCCCCCAGCTCTAAACTAATCCCCACTCCTCCCCTGTGGCTAACATGGGAGGCATGACTGAGGGTGAGATGGGGGCAGTAGGGGGTAGGGAACCATGGCTCCCAGGATGCCATTTCCTTCCCCTGGCACAGGGTCTCTCTCTCTCTCTTCCTCCATAGCCCCCTTGGGATAAGGCCTGATTCTTATCAGGAAAGGGGGTTGTTTTGAATTCACCTCTCCACCCCTTTCCTCTCCCCACATACCTCAAGTGCATGCCCGAAGAGCCAGTGGGTCGGGGGACCTGGGAAGCGGTCCATAGCCCTGGCCAACTTCTGCCTCCGAAGTAGCAGGTGGGCGAGCTTGAGGAAGCCTAAGGCCAAGATAAGGCCAGAAGCCCACCAGGCCAGGCGGGAAATGCTCAGAGAAAGTAAGAAGGGAGCCATGGCTGGAGTTGCAGCCTGCAGTCCCAGCTGTCCAGGCTCTGAGCTGGCTCCCGTTGACTCTGGAGCCGCACACTGTGCACCCAGGCACACTGCCAGGCCTCCTCTGTAGTCACGCCCTGCCAGCAGCAACTAAGGCTGGGCCGAGCGCCATGAGGCGGGGCCAAACCCCAGACAAAATCACTACCAAACCTCCACATAGCAACCCTATAGGACAAGGTGGTTGTAGGGCTATCCATCTTGATAGAAGCATACTATCACCTCTTTCTCCTGTGGAAAGGCTGGTGGTTTCCAATTGATGACCTTTGGGTTAGCAGCCAACCACTTCAACTACCAGGATTCCTTTGGGGACAAGGGCCACACTGCCACCAAATCCACTGGCATCCTGTCAATTACAACTCTTAATGACCTTCGGTAGGGTCTGGGACTGCGGGACTTTCCTGGAACAGACAACCTCATCGTTCTCCTACTAAACAGCCAGTGGGCGTGAACTGCCCCCTGCCAGGGCTCCTGCGGGGCCAGGCTAGCAGCCCCAAATCACAGAGAAACAGCCAGCCTGCTGACTTCTCCCAAAACTCAGAAAAGACAAACCAGGCAGTGGACTGCAAAGGAGCCAGCCAATTGAGCAGCACCACACCTTGATTCCTTAGAGGAGCAAACAGAAGGCAATTCTTTTTCTTCTTTCTTTTTTTAAATCACTTTATTGGGGACTCTTGCAGCTCTTATAACAATCCACACAGCAATTGTATCAAGCACATTTGTACATGTGTTGCCATCATCATTTTCTAAACATTTTCTTTCTGTTTGAGCCCTTGATATTAGCTCTTCTTTTCACCCTCCTTCCCCCACCATCCCACCCTCATGAACCCTTGATAAGTTATAAATTAGTATTATTTTCATATCATCCACTGACCACTGTCTCCCTTCACCCACATTTCTGTTGTTCTTCCCCTTTGGGGGTGGGTGGAGGTTACTCATCTATCATTGCAATCGGTTCCCCTTTCCTCGACCTTCACCTCCTCCTCCCCAACCCAGGCAATTCTTAATGTAACCATCTGTCTCATGATTTCCTTTCCTCACCTAAGTACCTTGTATGTTCCAGGCACTTCCTACACACTGTCTCATGTACACCAGGCAACAGAGAGCTTGTAGGTACTTACTCTTTATACCCATTTTCTAGATCATAAAGCTAAGGCTCAGCTTTCCCATGCGCGCCTACAAGAAGTTTCCACTTCCTGCTAACAGAGTGGACCTCTAGAATCAAGTATTCTAGTATTGAATCAGGTGACCCCTGTGGAAGGGACGTTCGACCCCTAAAGGGGTCGCAACCCACAGGTTGAGAACCGCTGCTTTCAGGTGAATTTGTTTATTGGCATGGTCCCATCCTGACACTGTAATGAAAGGGATGTTTGGGGGGAAACCTGGGAGACATCTTCACTTGGTGAAGAAGTTTTGGCTTCTAGCAAAAACCATTGAGAATTCTCCTGGGAAGTAAATGGGGCTAGCCTGGGAGGTGTACAGTGGGCATAGCGAGCAGTGGACTAGGAAGTACTAAGGGGATTCACAGAGGAGCTCCAAGTGGTACTAGCATAGGAAAATTTCGGTGGGAAGGAGCAAGCAATGATCTGAGTATTGAGAACGTAAGCGTGGAGAGAAGCAAATATCTGAGATGTTATGAAACAGGATCCACAAAGGGGATGGACCTGTCTGGGAATTATAGCACTGTGAACATGGTTAGCACGGGGTCTCGAGCACTCAAACTGAACTTTATCTTCTAGACCACAGGGAGCCATGGGGTGGGGGAGTGGGGGGGATGACCTTAAGCAAGTAAAGACTTGTCATGTGTGTGTTCAGTAGATCACCCTCTCTACATGTGTTCTGCATATCTTAGGTTGCTAATGGGTCTTCCTCCAATCCTGATGCTGCGTTCTTCTTCATGTAGTTCTGCTTCTCAGATTATTTGCTCAGACTAATTGAATTGAGTAAGGATGGTGAGAGGATATTGCTCTGACTGGATTGTATCCCTTTGCTCTGTTCAAATGGTTGTCTCTTGGTCTGTGTACATCCTTCATGAGAACAATTAAGTGTTCCAGAATTGCCATTTGTGTTAGGCAGGATTCTCTAGAGCAGCGGTTCTGAACCTGTGGGTCATAACCCTTTGGGGGTCTACCTACCCTTTCACAGGGGTTGCCTAAGACCATCAGAAAACACATAACTATTTCACAGCATATAATTATTACACGTTGTTTTGTGATTAATCACTATACTTTCATTATGTTTAGTTATGTTCAATTTGTAACAATGAAAAT